GCCTTGAGGCCACAGATTCCCCATTCCAATCTAGTCTGATGAAATCATAGCTCTTTAGAAATACAGAAACAGCAATAATGATAGTGCCTAGCACAGTGCTGGCACATAAAGCTTAATAAATGGTTGGTGATTGATTGATAATAATAATGATTCCTATTCTATTTATAAAAGTCACTTTCTCTAGTTTTAGAACTTGCATCTTTATATAGGAAGGGATCCCATATATAATCAATAATTATCTATTAAGCATGAGCATCAGTTTTAATATCAGGGAAATTGGGTTCAAACACCACCTCTGTCACTTATAATTTGACTTTGAACAAATCACATAGCCTCCCTGAACCTTCATTACTTTATCTGAAAAAGGACGGAGTTTAGACTAGCTGACTCCCGCCCGAGGTTTGTTTCAGCTATAGATCCATGATACTATGAACAACCTACTATGTGACGAGCGCTGGGTTATGAGTTGGAAATACAAATAAATGGTGAGGTACTTCCTTACCTAGTGTTAGAATAGAGGCTTACATGGCTTGCCCTTGTGCCCTAAGGCCCCAAGAAAGGGCCACAGAACTTCTATCATCACCAAACCCAGAGCCTTGTGATTTCACAAGAGTCAGGTCTATGCTTTCACTTAAAGAAACTATGTTTGCCGAGTGGGACATAGTGAAAAGAGACCAAAGATTGAAATCAGAAGACCGAGTTCAGTTTTCAGCTCTGATATTTTAATATGGTTACCTTGGGGAAGTCACTTCCTCCTCTCTTCCTCAGTTTCCTTGTCTGTAAAATAAAGGGATTGAATCAGATGATCTGTAAGGGCTGACATGTTCTGACTTGCTGTGATTGTGTGGGTTGCTATACCACCTGAAAGGGCTTTTTCACGTGACACTCTTTTTTTAATGAGGGGATTGGATCGGTACAGCCACGGGAAGGAACCTGGCAGACTGGGTGCCCCCATCACATATTGCATTCACTTGTCATTTCATTTATTTTTTGGGACAAGTGTTGACTCATCCATATAGCACATCTGGGAAGAATCAGATGGTACTGAGAACAGTAAATTCAGACTGAATGTCAGGAAAATAGACCTCATCAACGGTTACTTTGGGAGTGGAATAACCTCATAAAGGAAGAGAAAAGTCATTGCAGTGTTTGAAACTAGGCTCAATAACCCTTCTCAGGAAAGATAGACGTGGTTCTAATCCCTTCTCCAAAGATGAAATAATCTTACAGTTTTTACTGAGCTCCTGGTAACTCCTATTACCATTTCATTCTGTTGAATAAAATGGTCTTCTCTGGAGATACAGCAATAAATTCTACCAATTCTAATGGTAAAGCTGACCAGTAGTATGAGTAGGCTGCTGAACTATATATTCATTTTAACCAATCAAACAGTTCTTTAGTGATTACTACATGCAAGGTGATAGAAATTGCAGCATTGTGAATAGAGAGCTGGGCTATGAGTTAGGAAGACCCACGTCCTGCTTCTGACATGCCCTGGCTGTGGGATTCTGTGCAAGTCACTTAACCTCTTATTGTTCCCAGGTAACTCTCCAGGACTATAAATTGCAGAGACAGGGCTGCTCTGCGTTGGTAGAAGTTTCCTCACTGGGAGATCCCTAAGCTGATAAAATCACAAGTCTGGGCCAAAAAAGAAAGAAAGAAAGAAAGAATGAATGAATGAAAGAAAAAAAAGAAATGCATAAGGCAGGATTCTAGGTACTAGGGATACAACATCGTCACCACCCTCGAGGAGACGGCATTCTACTGGGAGAGGTCCTTTCTACTGAGAGATAATTGTGATACTTTAAAATGCTACAATTTGCATATGCACTCCCCCATGCCATCTTCATATAGACCAATACAATTCCCCAATTATATGCTTTTCTTGTTTGCCTGATGACCTGACATCAATAGCAGAAGCTCCCATGCTTTCCTTGATGAGGTATTGCTTTTGATTTTTCTGAAGTTTTATGATCACTACCAGGATTATGATTTGAGAGGACAGGGAATGAAGAAGTGATGGGGCAGAGAGGAGAGGCATGATATTGCTCTGAGTGGAAGCCCTATTTAGGTGAAGGAGGCCATCTAATTTGATGTCGTGTACTGGGCACAAAAATATGAGCATTCTCATATTGAAACTTTTGATTACTACCTGTTGGACCCTGAGTAAGTCATTCACCTCTGTGGGCCTCAGTTGGCTCATCTGGAAAAGGAGGGGACTGGATTAGCTGGCCTTTACAATCCCTTCTGTTTTAGAATGTAAGCTTCTTGACATCAGGGACGATTATGTTTTTGTATTTGCTTCCCCACATCTGAGTGTAGTGCCTGACCTAGAGTATGAGCTTAATAAATGCCTATTGATTCATTGATTGATTGTTAAGGTCCAGCCACAATCTAACTCCACCTACTTCTCTTGTCTTCTTTTGTTCAATTTGCCTTCATGTATTTGAACTTTGTTTTGTTGTAATTTACTATCTGATCTTCCAATCCAACTTGCTGCCTTCTGACTGACTTCGGGCAGGATGATACCCGTGCCTGGAATGCACTCTCTCCTTGTCTCTGTTTCTTTTCCTTCCAGGGTCAGTTTACCTTTTTTTAGTGAAGTCTTCTCCAGTCCTCCCAGCTAAAAGTGATCTCTCCTTTCCCACATTTCCTTGACCACTTTGTCTAGGTCTTTCCTTTGATTCCATCATGTGCCCCCTATTAAGTCATAGCCTCCTTAAAAAAGACAAGAACTGTCTCATTTTT